TTTGGTATTATGATGTGCACACAAGCCTTTTTTTTGTGGGAAGGTAAAGAAAGCACCTCGGCTGGTTAAAGCATGGTGCTCATATGGACAGGGCTGCAGATTTCATCTCTGTATGGGCCATTCATTTGTGCTTGATCAATGACTCTATAATCTTTGTGGGTCCTTCCAACTCAGAATATTGTTTGATAGTATGATTGTGGTCAGAATATACATACAGTGAAGCCTCTAAGTGCTGACAGGACATTTCCATATTGCAATTACTGCCTAAAGATACTGAACTTCTGGCCCCTTGCATTTCCCTATAGTGTTTGCTCTGTTTCATACAAAATGCAAGATATCCAGAAAAATGACACTTGATAATTTGCTGCTTTAGATAACATGCTTTCATCCTCCTATTTTACCACTTTTGTACCCTTTGGAGCAGCTGAAACAGTAATGTCCATAGCAGAAACAACTTGCAAGAAGCAACTCATCCTAAGGATCCAGCATGCTCCCTGCATGGGATTTCGGGGCTGTAACCTCATCTGCTGCAGCTTTGCCTGTCATGGGGAACAGCTGCTGGGCTTTGTGTACTGCACCCACACATCAAGATCCATCTTCTACCTGTATGTGGCCAAAACCAAGACCTCTCCAAAAGCCCCAGCCATGGAGGCTCTGGAACTGATGTTCATGCTTAACAGAGGGAAGACAAGACCAACATTAACCAAAAAACAGACAGCCTGAAGGCCTACATCATAACTTCTGGTTTCTGCCTCCTCTGCAGTGCCATAGCACTCTATTCTGTAGTGGCCTTAGCTAAGCAGCATCCTATTGCTAGAAAACATACTTATCTAGTTCTTACCCTACACTGTAGTTGCAGCTGTGGTAATGAGTTTTATATCAATATTGCACAAATTGCAGAACAGCCTACTAAAGTAGGAAGCAAGAACAAATTGTTCTAGTAACTTGCCTGAACATAGCTGTAGTTTTCAATAGTTCTCAACACTCATAAAGCATTTGTGGACTGTGGTTTAAAATGTATGAAAACTAACACTTCTGCTAAGAGCATTGGCACTGATATTCTGCTGCTTGTATTCTCATAAGAAAATGGTTTGAAAAATTCCAATCCTCTTTACTGTAACACTGACACAGGCTTTGCTTGAAATTTTAGTCTGTAGGTTGCAGAGTTCATCCTGTGCTTAGAGGATTGTGAAAGTCTGTGTCTTCTTCATGGCACCTGTCTTCATTATTTTTCAGATTCCAAAAGACAAAACTGAGCTGTCTTTTGTCAACATTTTTGATGCACTCCTCCCAGTGTGCAAACTGGACATATACTTTCTGGAGAACATGCTATCAAACACTAATACATTAAAAATCTGTCCCTTCACAGTGCTTACAAACACTAGAACCCTAATAAATAAAACTCACATATTTAGATAAAAAAAATCAGAAAACTGTTAGGTAGTATCTGCTGGCATATTGGATCCCTTGGCATATTTTCCTTGAATGCCAAACAGTTCTGTAAAAAACACAACCAAAAAAATGCTCTTTAAGACAGGAATCAACAACACTTTGGCATGGAAGGTGACAAGAAACTGGCAAATGACTATGCAATGTAATTTAACTTTGTGTTGGTTATGGCATTTAAGAGACACTCTCATCTGTGACTCTTTGCATCTTGAATTCTCCTATCTGGGGCTGCCCCTCTGAAGGAAAACTATCTGGTAGTCCCACACAGTTTCTGCTCCTCACTGTCCTTTGTGTGCAAAGGACCACTGTTATTTTTTGAGAGGACAAAGGCCAGTCCAGCCACTGCAGACAGCTGAACCTTGCCTTCAAATGAAGCAATTGGGTTCAAGCAACAGCAGGCAGTAAATCAGATTCCTTTTTCAGAGGAAGCACAACGTGAGGGTGTCCCAGAGTGAAGAGAGAGGAAGCAAGGGAGCAGGAAGGGGTTATTTAAGGGGTGCATCCTTTCAAACCTTGCAATAAGGAAGCTTAATCTTCTAAATGCACACAGAGTGTTTCTTACCTACATAGAGGTTCCAGAATTCCTCCTACAGGTAGGTGTGGAGAAGAAAAAGAAATAGATAAGAATTACCAAATTCCTCAGAAAAATATTAGATTTTCATACACAGGATACTTGCAGCTAAAAATTGTTAAAGGAAACATTTACATTATAAATACATACAGAGCCTAGCAGCCCACTATTACCATTTAATAACTTAAAACCATATGATCCATATGGCCCAGCTCTACAGAAACAAGTCTCATGCATTTTTCAGAAATATCTGAACCTCCTTAGAGTTTTTTCAGTGTGACCCATTCAGCATAAGTCACTTGATTTCTTGCATAATTATCTTTCCACCAGTTCTGACTGAATTTTCTTATATTCCTGTAATGCCAAATTCTCAGTCTTGATCCCCACCCCGTACTCCCATCAATTAGGACCTCACAAATCCTGACATTTAAAAATACTCTGTCTGATTTGTGTTCTCCTTTTCATTGGCACTGAGGACTCTAGGATGCTGCCTGTGCAGGACAGTCCTTTCCAGTGACATCTGGTCACCAGGCAGAACAGGCTGTGCCAGTTCTGGTATAGGTAAGTCAACATTTATGATCCAAGGTACACTGGTGATGCACCCAGAACTCCCCACCAAGGACACCTCAGGGTCACTCCAAAAACATTCTGGCCATCAAATAATGCTAAAGGGAAGTGAATCTGGCCTTAGCTCCAGTTTCAGGGTAGTTCTAAACAGCCATATAGCTACAGCCTATGTTTGGAATACCATCTTTTCTACTTACAGTCCACACAGCTGCCCCATCTCTTTAACTTTTCCTTCAGCTTGGGAACAAATCACATTTCTGTCTAAAATTAAGCAAGCCATTGGGGTAGGGCAGGTGACACAGGAGTCACAAAACTTCATTCCAGTAAACATTAAGGCATTTATGAACTATTAACACTATACATTCTCTCAATTCAGATAAAGAGAGCTACAAAATTACAAGCAAAACTGCTTGAGATAAGTTCAGTAAAATTCCCTCATGAGATTCCATGTCAGCATTTGCCTTCTCAGCCTTCCCAGAGTCATGGCACTCAGGGACTGCCCTGACCACAGTGATGGCACTCAGGCATGTAACCCAGACACGGTGAAAGTATTTTCAACACTGAGAGCAGCAAAGCCATTGAACATCAAAAAACTTTCAGTGGCAATTAAACAGATCAGAACAGGTAAAAGAATAGAGGATGTAACCTGGGATGGCCATGCAAGAGCTACGTTAAGACTGTTATGGGAGGATTATTGCCTTAGCAATTCCACCCACAGTCAATCATTATTTGTGTTAAGTGATTGGGAACAACTTGTGAGTTTTGATGCCCAGCTCAAAGGACATGAATAGTAATTTTTAAACATGAAATATATAGACCTACTTTCATATTAGTTCATGCTTACAGTTTTCTCCTGATCTTCAAAAGCTTCTCTTGCTTCTTCTTTTGAGCAGCGCTCCTCAATGCATTCTCTTTCAATATTCCCTTGCTTCAATTCCTCTAAGAAAGAGTTAGCACGTTTTGTTCTTTCCAAGAACTTGTCGGCATTTTCTTTCTTGATGAATACTAGACAGCAGAGAAAAATTATACAGGTGGGTAACAGTTGGTGGTGGAAAAGAGTCACAACAAATGAGTGAAGTAGAAACAAAGCCAAAACAGACCACACTACCTGTACACAACATTACCTGTGAGGTTAGTCCTCACACAGGCTGATACATCCCAAGATCTCTCAGGGCAGTCTCCCTGAGAATCAGTAGCCTCAGAATGAAATGTGGACCCCAAAATTCTCTTCTACTCTTTTTAATCTTGAAAAGGTTGCCAATGAGGGCTTATATTTCTGCTGCTCCTGCTCAAGACTCAGTCTTGAATAGAATGACTTTCCCTCAATGCTGGGAAGATTACAGAACCACAGAATCACTAGGCTGGAAGAGGCCTTCAAGATCATTGAGTCCAACCCATGCCTTAACACCTCAACTAAACCATGGCACTGAGTGCCACATCCACTCTTCTTTTAAACACATCCAGGGATGGTGACCCCACCACCTTCCTGGGCAGACCATTCCAGTACTTTATCACTCTTTCCATAAAAAGTTTTTTCCTAATATCCAACCTGTATTTCTCTTGGTGCAGCTTAAGGCTGTGTCCTCTCGTTCTGTCAGCTGCTGCCTGGAGAAAGAGACCAACCCCCACCTGACGACAGCCACCTTTCAGGGAGTTTGTAGAGAGTTATAACTTCACCCCTGAGTCTCCTTTTCTCCAGGCTAAACATCCCCAGCTCCCTCAGTGGGTCCTCACAGAGTTTGTGTTCCCAGCCCGTCACCAGCCTCGTTGCCTCCTCTGGATGTGCTCAAGTGTCTCAATGTCCTTCCCAAACTGAGCGCCCAGCACTGGACACAGCACTCAAGGTGCAGCCTCACCAGTGCCCAGTACAGGGGGGAGAATGACCTCCCGGGATTAGGTAAATTGCTAATTACCCTGTAAAGAGTATATGTTCGAGGACAGTGTGAAGAGTTTGGAAGTTGACATTTAATCAAGTTCTAGCACTGGAATTTACACTGAGGAAATACTTTGCAATATTTCCTATATTTCCAGTATTTTTTAGGCTGGAGTGTGGAAGAGTGTGCTACAGATGTGACTTCAAGGACAATGACTTATGCTGACTGGGAGGCTTGCACATTCCTTTTGGAGCATTCATCATGCAGCTTAATTCCATGATAAATAAACTTGCTAAAAGTAATTATATACCCTAATATCCTCCAAGTGAGCACAGAGGAGACTCATTCTGCTTTCATTGAAATTGGTGAACTCCTACTCAGGGACGCAAGTTCTGTTTGTGTTATTTATATTAAGCAATGCTCACATAATTTGAAGCCCTACTTACTTTGAAAAGGCTCCTCTCAAGGAAGGCTTACAGAAAGTACTTTTAACTTGCAGCTCAGTGACTGTTAGTTCATTCACCCACTATCTTATTTGTCCTCAAATCCCTTTCTTCAGCGTCAGGAAATGGACAGGACACAGCCGGTGGGGTTATCACCCCTGTATTTCTCTGCTTTCACACCACCCGGATTAGCGGATGTTTTTGCAAACTTGAACTAGCCTCCCTCTGAGGCTGCTCGTTCTCGTTCCCAAGCCCTCCATCATACTCCCTTCTTTACAGACATCAAGGAGCAACAGGCATTGGCCAACCGAAGCAGGATATTCCAGAAACATGCCAAAGACTTTGTTTTAAACCCCAAGCAGTCTGACTCACTGAAGGAAGAGTTAACAGCTTTTGAAAAGTTATTTGCTGATGCTGCCTTGCACTCAGGCGCTGACTCTGGCGGCACAGGAGGGCAGCGGGACCCGCTNCACCATCCTTGGTACATGTCAGCTTTTGTCTGAGCCAGCCATGTGTGCTTGCCAGGAGGAATTCTGGTATCTCAAAATCCACCAGTTTACTCAGCAGCTGTGCTGTGTCCCTTTCCTGATTTTGCAATCGGCTCAAATTTTGCTATGTGAAATCACTTTCCTGCCCGCAGTTAGTGCTGGCTGCAGCAATACTTGCTGTTTGTAGAGGTGTATTTTGGATTTGTCAATCTGCTTTGCTCACAGCCTCTGCTATGTGAAATGAGCCAGGACCGGCTCAAAGCCTAAAAGAGATGGAGTCGGTGCCTAAGGAAATTCAGTGTTCCAGAGCACATAAGAGATTGGAGAAGCTTTGAAAAAGCCATCAGGCTTCTTAGGGGGCAGACCACATAATGGATAGAGGCTTTTGGGGCAGGGCTTGTTAAAATTACAATAAACAAGAACAAAAAAAGAAAGAATGTTTTATTTCAAATGCTGGTGTACATCAATATTGCACCTAACTGAAACATCTAGAACAATACACATACAAGCAGTTTTCCAATCCTCAGCCATGCACAATCCAGAACAAGATACAGAAAACGCTGAATGTGCACATATATGTATTTTCTGATGAGCAGAGTGTACAAATTAATCTATAGTGAAGTACAATCCTTATAAATCAAAACCCCTCGTTATTTAGACATGCAAGATGTCCTGTTCTGTTAATCTTCTGAACATATCTCAAGGTAGAAGCTAAACAACTCCAGTATGGATAAACTCCCTGCTGAGCCAGATGGCTGCAAAAGGAGGATTTAGTGACTCCCATCCTTCCCGCTTTCATCATGGCTAGTGACTCTTCAGAACATGTTTAGCGGCCTCTGGTAGGACCACATGTGACAACAGATAGGAACCACAATGACCACTGATAAAAGAAGCCAAAATCCCCAGTCAGCAGCCTTTTTGACAGGGGAATTCCCTCATTTAACCAATTTCAAAGACCCCCACAGTCCTCAGAGGTGTGCTTTAAAGCCAGGAATAATACAAATGGAAGCAGACCATAACTTTAAGCAGATGTCAAAATGAACTTAGCACATGAGCAGGAACAGAAGGTTTCCATTTCCAATCCTGCACTTTGGCAGGTAACAAGGAGGATCAAGGGACACAGCACCACTACAAACTCATGACTGTCCTTACCCAGCGCAGGAACCGGGACAGTTTGGTGTAGACNGGGACGCGGAGGGGACCGGACGGGACGGGACGGGACGGACGGGAGGAACGGGACGGACGGGAGCCGAAGTCTTCACCCCCTCGGGCGGGGTGAGACTGAAGCCGCGGAGCTTCACCCTGCCCAGAAATAGCGGAAGCGGCGGGACAGGGTGACAGCCCCGGCGGGATTTCTTAGTCGAGGGGATGTGGCTGCTCTTCTTTTGGTTTATTTTTTCAAAGCCCGAGGCAGCTTGGGGCTTTGGTTTGGTTTGGTTTTAATTGCACCTTTTATTTTGGAGGAGGGGCAGTGAAGCACGCCTCAGTAAGCTGCCGTGCCCCCAGCGCTGGGCACAGCCGGGCCCGCAGCCCGCAGCAGGCGCCGTCCCGGGCTGCTCCCGGCCGTGTGTCCCATGCACATCCCGGGCTGCTCCCGGCCGTGTGTCCCATGCACATCCACACTGGAACCTGCTGGCTCCGCGCTCCGGACCAGTGCCCTCGGCTGAAACTGGCCTCAATCTGTCCCCCCTTTCTTGGGGGGATTCGCAGTGCGCTGCGGCGGCCACGTCCTCGGTGCTTACAGAGCCAGCCTTCCGCTCTCCTTCATCTCCTTGGCTTTCCTAAGCAGGCTGTTGTATTAAAATATAATCTAAAACCCAGATTTGTTTTGAAAAAGTAATTTTTTGTGGCATTTTTTAGTACTGATTTCTTTTGGCCTTTTTTCTGCAAGGTAATTTGTTCACAAATATCAGCATTTTCACTGGAGTGTTATAGAGGAGCAATTATCTTGTGGATCATGGAAAACAGAAATTATTCTGCCTTGAGGGGTCGTCAGGGATGGTTTTACAGTGCTGAGCACCTCATCTAAATGAAAATGAGGCTTTATTTGCTGGTCACTACTTCTTGAGACTGGACTCTCTTTAGGAGCAAGGAGACTCTCTAGTGCATGTATGCATATATACTGTAACATCTCTTGTTTTTCAGGTCTCTGAAATTTGCTGCCTTTCCTAGTAAAGTTCACTACCTAAATGAACAGTAAAACTTCCTTCGCTGTTGGTAAAACAGGTTATAGGATGTTCAGTACTGCATGGTATGTACCATACAATGACAATGTTTTCCCCTAATAGTGGAGTATGATCAGTTGTGGCCTACCTGCTGATAAGCTTTTGTTGAGTTGATATTCTGCATTATTTGAACAATCTAGAGTGTAAATTCTGCATGAGATAGTTAAACTGTTTCCCAATCTCCTAGTTCAGTTTTACCTTGCTCACCTTTTCAGTGTTTTCATGCTAAGGTTAGAAAATACATTTTTGAACTGTATATGTTTTCAGAGAGAGAGCTTCAGGTTCTGTCATTTATGCCTTAAGACTTTAGTGAATGGTCTTTGGTCACTGTTTTGCGGAGGGGTAGATTATTATCCTGTTCTGGTTTTAGATCTCAGGATAGAGAGTACAATTGAGATTATACTGGACAACTGATAAACATTCCCTTTCATATGCACTCTTTCTATCAATATGCATAATACCAAGGCAAAGATAAGATTAAATCAGTGGTATTCTTTACCACTCATAAATATAGGGTTAAATATTGCACTTACGAGCCTTACAGCAATAGTGCTTGGTGCAAGAAGATTTAAATCAAGTTTTCATAGCAGACCTGTAAATATGGAATCAACCTTTTCCCAGATTTCTTGTCTTGGGGAGTGTCTGCAGTTCCTCCCCTTCAAATCTCCCTGTTGCCACTGCAACTGTTGGAGAAAGCTGCTCTAACATAAGCTAAAGGAAGCACCTTTTCTATTTTTATTTCTGCTATTTCATCATTATATTACAGGATCCATAGCATAGGAAGTTATGAAAGCCAGAAGCATAAATGTGTTCAAAGGAGATTGCACACAATTATGGACAACACATTCATTCATGACTGTTCAGTCTAATGCAACTTCTGGCTCAGGAAGTCTGTACTTCACTGATTACCAGAGGCTGAGAGTGTAGCTGGAGGAAGGCTTATGGTCTGCATGATGTGTTGCTGACAGTCTTTCTCTCAGCATGTAGCTCTGACCTTTAGCAGAAATGGATGCAGAACAGGAGGGACGTTGTGTCTGATTTGTTATGGTCATTCTCTGCCTGCTTGACAAGATACACCATTTTACAAACAACACTGAGAGGGAAGTTATTTTATGTATTCAAGCAGGCCTTAGGTTCACTTCAAATCTTTAATAGTGTTGTGGGTATGGTCTGTATCAAATATCTAAGATAATGAAGGAATCCTTCAAGGGGAAAATGGTAGAGAGGGACTGGGGGGCAATAGCACAACCTGGAAATGATGTGACTCAGCATCATTAGTCCATGTGCTTCCTCAACCAGTCGATGTATTTGGATACCCTAGTGTAAACCCCATAGCTGCCTTGAACAGCACAGCCCTTTCCCCAGCTGACAATCCCAGTCAGAAACCAAGTGTTCTTGTACCGTGTAGCATGAGGACCACCACTGTCTCCCTTGCAGGAGTCCTTCACCCCAGACAGATCTCCTGCACAGAACATATTCTCTGTGATATTTAAATCAGTCTCCTTTTCACATTCTTGTGTCTTTACACGTGGCACATCAACTCTCATCAGGACAGAAGCAGTGGCACCTCCATCTATTAGGCGTCCCCATCCGCTTACTGTGGAGAACTTGATGGTGGACAGTTCATACACAGCAAACCTTTTCTCAGGCAGGCATATTGGCACCACATGGTCAGTGAGATTCACGGGTGTTTCCAGTTTCAGGAGGGCAATATCATTATTGACCTGTTCATTCCTGTACTCTTCGTGAATGATCATCCTGGCCACTCCACTGTCTTGCTCAGTTTTCTCATCAACATTTATTTTGTGTTCACCTGGAAAATTATTAATTGTAGGTCATGTCAGGTAGCTCCTTGAATCCTTGGAAGCTTGAGGATGTGGGGTGTTTCTAGTCTGACGCCTCTAAGGACAATTAGCTTGTACTGCCAAAGCCTTCTGCTCTGATTTTATCAGGTTGGGAAGCTGCCACCACCTTGATTAGATGAGGAGGGGAAGATACATACCCAGTCTGACCCGAAGCTGTTTAGGGTGAACGTGCTCCAAGCAGTGAGCTGCAGTGACCACCCACCCTGGGGAAAGCAGCGTGCCACCACACTTTTCTTTCTGATCCTGTATTATAAGGGCCTGTCAACAAAAAGCAAATGTATGTCCTTCATCAAATGTGCTTGACATAGATCTCGGTAGAGATGGGTTTCATATTGCTTCTTTCTGGCCCTTTATGCAGCTGTTCCACAATACCACGCTGACTCCATGGAGAACTTAGCAAGGGAAGTCTTCCCATGGACGTTTTCTTCATCTTGTAGTATGGACCCTGCATATTATGGCCCAAAGTGTATCCCTGGAAGCTGCAACTAATTCTTGTTGGAAGTGAAGTTAAGGACTGAGGGGTCAGGAGATAGACACAGCTGTGCTACCACTCTACTCCTATGAAACCAGGTACTCTGGAACAAAGCTAAGGTGTCTAAGTGAAACAGGTGGATCTGCTGGCTATGGATGAAGAAGGAATTTGGTTATGAAGATATGGCACTTTTTATGAATTTTTAACATCACAGATTTAAAGCAATGAATTTAGTGTAGTGATTTCATAAGGAAATTTTAAAAATAAAAGCAATGAAAGATTTTTGAAAACTCACTTGCCATGGACATTCACCTGGAGGACAGATGAAACCACCTACTATTCTTCCACGTGCAGTTGAATTTTTTTTTGCCAACACTGGTATTTTTCCACAAGGGTATTTCACTGAGGAAAAAGAAAACAAAAAACCAAAACCCAAAACAACAAAAGGCAACCAAGATTTTATTGTACTGAACTCACAGCAAAATGTGTAATGTCTTCAGTGAAGCTATGTCAGCTGAAAAACTGATTTATAGTCTAGGAGCATGGATTCTCAAAAATAATGTAAAGCAGCTCAGCAGGGAAGTAGGTTTTTTTTTGTTTGGAAACAGCCAGAAATGCTCTTACAGTTAGAGTTGAGGCTCTTACAGCATCACTGACATGGAGTCACCTACCATAGGTCTTTGCAGACAATAAACCTGCTTAAGATACACATCAACACAATGAGGTAGGCTGCAGGCTGGAGTGCAGAAGTGACCTGACAAGCTCTGTAGTCTACAATTTTCTTTGTCCCTGCTGACTTTAAGTCACAGCATCCACGTCAGGGTGAGACAGAGGCTTAATCATTGGGTCTTGCCACCCTTTGTTTGGGCAGAGCCAAATATGTCCCAAGGGCAGACTCTGTTTTCTTGCATGCCTCTCCCACACTACCTTGTTTGCTTGTGTCCAGAGCCTGCTGGATTCTTCCAGACCACACATCTCTGTTCTGCCTGAGCTAGCATGTGAAGAATGGCAATGAAGAGAATCAAATCCTGACTGAACTTGCAGTTCAGCTGTAGTGCAGAGGAAGTTCTGGTGTTTTCAGTACATCCTTCACCCAGCTGGGTTTTCCTGTAAAGGAGAAGGTCTAACCTCGGGGGTGCCTGTGTGCCACGTGTCTGTGCTGAAACCGAACACACCATCCCTTCTGTCTGGCAGTCACTTCACTCTGGGGTAGCACTGTGAGGAGGAGTGCTCTGTTTCTGCCTCTTTGGGATCCCTTCTGTCTGGCAGTCCCTTCACTCTGGGGTAGCGCTGTGAGGAGAAGTGCTCTGTTTCTGCCTCTTTGGGAGCCAGGGCCCTACAGTCTCTGCTGAGCTGCATGCAGCATCTCCGTGGAGCTGTAAGTACCTCAGCTGACATGAAGGCAGCATCAGGGTTTTACAGGTCAATGCAAGGTATGGAGAAACAGGACTGGCTTTTTGGTGGCAGCTGGTGAAAGATTAAACAGGCACAGCCTCTATTGCTGTGTCTCTAATGCTGTGTGTAGGGCAACACAAATTTGGGCCATTGTGGGAGATGACAGAGGGACAGTGAGGGGACTGTCAGCCTGGCAGTTACACAGTTTTTTCTACTTGCAACACATGGTCAATTTTACAGGTATTTTGGTCCCCAAGAAGCAAGCAGCAACAAATACATCTTCCTTACAGGGAAAGATGCACAGAAAAGCCTGTGAGGAATTTTGAATTGTTTGTTCTTAGCTTTTAACAAAAGCAGCTTTCCTACCACGTGGTATTGCAGAATCTGTTAATAAGGGATAAGCACATTAGTAGACTTTTTTTCTAATGAAATTGCTGCTGCTGAGAGCTAGGTTGTCATTACCAGCTCTCTGCATGAGTGTTCCATTGAGGTGTGTGCAGGGGAGCACCACTCCTCAGAATTACTTTGCATGCTCCCTGTGGCTCTGTCCATTATGTTGTTATGTTCATATCCCCAGGGGTCTCCTTTTCCCTCTAATAAAGTAATTCAAGTAGGCATCTGCAAAAGAGTCAGGTGCCCGCTTATGCATTGGCAAAAAGATTAACTTGCTCTACTCTAGTCCCAGTTGAAATTTACCTTGCTAGATGAAAAAAATATCTAGCCATAGTGTCTAGAGGAATACCATAAGTGTATTATTCCTAACAATTAGGAAAAGAAGAGGAGGGAAAAGAAAATAAAAGAGAGAGAAAGAGAGAACGAGAGAAAGAAAGAAAGAAAGA